CAATCCATTTGTACTGTCTGAGTTTCTACACTCACTGGACAAGCAGAAGGAAACGTCTTGCGAGGAGTGTTTTATCTGCAAAGTAATCTCACAGGCAGCGGTTATCAGAGAGCAGGGCAGAAAATTTTTTGTTGCTCACCATACTTACTACGGTCCTCTTTATCCTAAATATTGCAGTGGGCCTGCTTACATAGTAAGAACGAAAATGGCCCCCTTTCTGTATGAAGAGTCATTCAAAATGAAGTTCTTCTCCCTGGAGGACGTTTACATCACCGGATTTTTGGGATCTCAGCTTGAAATGGATCACATGGACGCCTACCAGTTGTACACCTCCCGAAAGGAAGATCTCATCAATTCTTCGGCTTTCTATCACGATAAACTAACAATCGCTGAGCGGAAAAAAATTTGGTTCAAAATACAAGAATATAATTTAAACATTACGGAAAATGAAACAAGTTTTTTTTATGAATGATAAAAAATGCTTGTGGAATGCGTACTTAATAGACTTCTAAATTATTTTCTCTAATTAATAAACGGCTGTTGAACTTATTATGAGAAAAACCTTTCGAAAATTCCATCCGTGGGGAGTCTCGACGGTTCGTTTTATTGTGTATGAAGTCTGATAAATCGGTCATACTTCAACCAAAAGCGAACTGACTGCTTCAGTGAGCCATCATAATTACGGTTTCATATTGTGTTGCAAATCGAATAGATTGTCGAAAGTCAAACTTCAAGCACACTGCGCTGTCCCATGTTTTTAACCGTCTAGGGGAGGTCGTGTCCGCATGGTAGGTTAGCAGTTACGACGCTATTTCGAATGATGTCATTCGTTAAAAAAATATTTTATTCATCACGAATGGTGCTTTCGGAGTTAATATCACTGATATGTAATAATATAAACGTCATAAACCTGTCAAACGAATAGAGTCATTATTTGAAAAGTGATCTCGCGCAGCAAGGAGGTGAAATCTGGCATATCTTCAAAATGAAGCGTCCAGACGATGGGACAATTGGTTTTAAATTAAAGTTTATATAAACGTTCACTGCTCAGCCTTTCGTAACATTCGCGAAGAAGTTGTTCTTTCTAAAAAGTGCTTGGCAAGTCGAATCGCATACGTGCATACACTTCCCCCGTCGCTACGGTTGCAGTGAATGTGTTGTGCAAACTGAAACAGATAGCTAACCAAGCTGTGGTAAAGCAGCTTTGGCTGAATAGCTAATAATAGTTAACTTGGCGCCTTTATTTCCGATTATGGAAACTATGCATAATTTGTCATTTGAAAGTGCAACTGCCTAACTCACTAAATTTCTCTTGTTTTCTTGCTGACTTAGCCTATCTGAGCTGTCCTTGCTTGCAGGCGTGCCATGTGCGTTTTGTGTTCTCTGCCTTTGCAGTCGGCCAGGTAGTGCCACATTGCTTTCGGACGTCGAACGGTGGTACAGCGTAGTCTAATTCACAACTCTTGAGGTGCATCGGTTCTCATTGGACCGAGCTACGTGGCTGAGTTTTCTATAGCGAGTTCATTGTCCAATCTGGCACTTGGAACATGGTCCCGGGGGGGGAGGGAGACCTTGCACATTCTTCCCTCCATCGCTCTTTGTGAACCATCGTTCTGCTGTTGTCAGATTTAGTAGCAGAGAAACGCTGAGAGCTGTAGATTATTACAGGAAGGATGGTTGGATTGAACAGCTGTTTCTT